CAGTCAAGGTAGGTGATTCACCAGTTTTGAGATTTAATGCCTGCCCTGCAGGGTTTCAGACTTGTTTAGGACCTGTTACCCCTTTCTTTTGTCTTATTTCTCACTTTCTTTTTTTTTTTTTTTGTCTTTTTCGTGACCAGTAAGGGGATTGCAACCCTTGGTGTGGTGTCGCCCACACTGCGCTCAGCCAGTGAGCACACCGGCCATTCCTATGTAGGATCCGAACCCGCGGCAGGAGCATCGCTGCGCTCCCCGTGCCGCACTCTCCCGAGTGCGCCACGGGCTTGGCCCATTATTTCTCACTTTCTAAATGGGAATATGTACCCTGTTTATCTCATCTATGTATCTTGGAAACAGATGATTTGTTTTAATTTCACAGATGGTACTTTGGACTTTGAACCTTTGAGTTGAAACTTTGGGGACAAAATGAATGTATTTGTATGTGAAAAGGACATGAGTTTTGGGGGGTCAGGAACAGAATGCTGTAGATTTGATGCACCCCCCACCACAACCTTATTGAAGCTTAAATCCCCACTGTAACGGTTGAGGGTGGGAAATCCCATTACGGTAATTGAAAGGTGAGGCCTTGAAGAGGTGACTAGATGGTAGGATCATGTCGTAGTGAATGAATTAATAATGGTGGTCAGAGGCATGGTTTGGAGGGCTTTAAAAGGAGAGCACACAAAGAGCCTTTCTCTGCTCTGCCATTTTCTGTCATGTGAGATCCCTGCATTGCTGTAAAGCTACCACAAGGAATACCCTTACCAGATGTGTCTCTCGGACTTTGGACACCCCAGACTCTGAAACTATAAGCAATAAATTTCATTTTCTTATAAATTACCCAGTTCCAGGTATTTTGTTATAAGTAACAGAAACAAGACTAATACATCCTCTCCTGCTTTTGCATTATTATTATTATGTATTTTACTCTTTTTTTTTGTCTTTTTTTTTTTTTTTTTGTGACCGGCAACGGATCGCAACCCTCGGCGTTGCACCCGCACCTCGCTCAGCCAGTGATCAGCCGGTCTGTATGTGGGATCCGAACCCTCGGCAGGAGCGCCACCGCGCTCCCAAGCGGTGCACTGTAGCAGTGCGCCACCGGGCCGGCCCTATCCTGCCTTTCCTATACAAACTTTACCTTTGGGTAAACAACTCATAAATGGGGAAAGTTTCTCTATAGTAATATTTCAACGAATACACCAAGAAGGGATGACAATATTGGAAACTGTCATTCTGCAATCCCTAATGAATTAAGGACCTAGGTATTGAGCATCTATGGCTACTAACATTACAAAGTAACAACCAGACATTAGGTGTTTTTTAACAAACACAGCACCAGCCATGAAATAGTTTTGACAAAAAAAATCAAACCTGAATAAGATTAAGCCTCTAGATCTACCTACCAGCTTATATGAAATACAAATGACAGAGAAACATGCTAAACTACCCAACAGGAACACAATCAGTAAAATCTCAACTTCGGGAAAGTAAGATTTATCATCCAGTTCCTTCAATAAACACATTGTTGAGGTTAAAAAAAAAAGAAGAGATAGTTGGGGAACCTATACAATAAGAGAGCTAAAAGGTGAAATAAAAGCAAAGCTAAATACAGTGTTTAGGGATTTACACTTGGGTGCTGTAGTAAGTTGAATGATGCCCCTCCAAATATGCTTCCCTACATCTTACTCCCTGGAACCTATATGAATATCCCTTAATTGGGAAAAGGGTCTTTGCAGATGTGATTAAGGATCTTGAGATGAAAAAATCATCTTGGACTATGCAAGCGGGTCCTAAATCCAATGACAAGTGTCCTTATAAGAGTTAGGCAGAGGGAGATTGGACACAGATGAAAGGGAAGACAATGTGACCAGGGAGGCAGAGATTGGAGTGATGTGGCCACAAGTCAAGGAACAATGACAGCCACCAGAAGCTGGAAAAGAATGGATTCTGCCCTAGAACTTCCAGGAGAGCAGCTCTGCTGACATCTTGATTTCAGACCACTGGCCTCCAGAACTTAGAATCTAAGTTTCCGTTGTCTTAAGCCATCCAGTTTGTAGTAATGTTTTATAGCAGCCACAGGAAACTAGTAATACAGGTGATAACATCCAAGAGAAAGAAAATAATCTCCATAGTGAAGATAGAGATTATTGATAGGGGTTTGGGAGGTGTATGTGGAAGGTGTCTAGGACGTTGGCAAGGTCTTCCCTCCTGACATGAATGCCCATTACAAGGGGGTTTGCCCTTTAATAACTCATTAAGCTGTACATTTGTTCCACATGGATTTCTATATTTGTATTACATTTAACAGTAAAAAAGGTTTTTAAAAAATCATACCAAAACTAGTGAAGCTCTTAAATGTCTGCCTGTGCACTAGGTCCTAATATCTCTTGACTGGGACGAGGGGGAGACTTTTCCCAGATGAGAGAGGTGTGAGGAGGAACAAGCTAAAGGGATAGAAGGGGGCTACAGAAATACACATTTGGGAAACCACAAACACCCTTCTTGTGTATCTCTCTGTCCAGGAAAGAACTAAACAGAGTTTATTTGTGGACTTCCAAATGAAATATGTATTGTGCAAGTTTCAGTGCCTGACAGGCTTTGCTAAGAGTGTTCAGAGATTATATGTGTCCAGCTGGCCTTATAAATGGTGGACGAAGGTGGGGGATGGGGTAAAAATTGCCTATACCCTTTTAAGGCTGATGTGTAAAGTGTTGGTATTTCAGATTTCCCAACAAGAACCTCTGTAGGCACTTATAAATATACAATTTTGTGGTCTTGTGTGACTTCCAAAGGTAAAAGTAAAATTGAAATACTGGCAACTAGAATACTGGCCATCTTGCTTGTATACAACAGAGTAAAATTTACACTGACTCTTCCTATACCAGCCTGGAACATCCTTCAGATGTGGCTGATGACAATCTACAATATTCACTGGGGATCTGAGCAAGATGCTCAACACCATCCCAGTGAAACCCCAAAGAGAATAATTTCAGCTCAGAGGGCTAAAGTAAGAGTTAACAGTTTACGATTCACAATTTCAAAATATCATTAAAACTCACATTCAGAATTAAAGACTATATGATAAGGCCCCTGGGTTATGAAGAGAAAATTACTGGTAATTATTTTGTGTTCATTGATACACAGTCCATGAAATTTGTGTCATAAACTACTTTCTCTTTTTTTACATTTTTATAATTTATGTATCCCTGATTTTACTAAAGACTACTTTCATTAGGTGATACTGTTTTATTACTGTCAATATAAATTAGAATTCCTTTCACATAATTTCTTGACAATGGAATAATTTCACACTGAGCCCTTCAAATGTAAAGCACTGGTAAGTTATGTTTACTATTGTGATAATAAAGTTTTAATGTCAATATTGATATTTTGTAATTTTATAAAAATTATATCCTTGTCTTATACTGCTCTATTTCTTAACTGTTAACCTGTCACTGCTATAGCAAAAGCACCTTATGAAATACTTAATGTTATGAAGTTCTTCAGATTGTTCTATATATATGGAGATTTAATAGTTAATTGGCAAGGAAAATATAAGACAAACTTTATGTGTTAACTTCAAGATGAGATCTTTACCATGTTGAGTCTATCCATCTCCTATGACATAAACAGCAAAAAAAAAAAAAGTTTTTTTTTCCTAGAAGACCCCACCAAAACCCCTCTTCTCATGTCTTAGAGATTAGAACTGCTTCACACACATTCCTAAACCAAACACTGGCAAGGAGGATGGAATAACCATGATCGGTTTAGTCTAATTAAGATTCAAGGAGCATGGCTCCCTAATATACAAAAAGACCTGGGACTCTTTCCTGCCACCAAAGAAGAGTTACAGGGCTGGTAATCCATATCTTTCACACAATTAGAGTGCCTTTTCTTCCATTATATTCTGTTTTCAGGCTGGAAAGGCCAGCCCTTGGCAGAATGGTCTAATAGTCAATGACCCTGTCACTTTTTCATTCACCAACTTTCTACCTTCCAGTCCTTAGGAGTTCCTGGGACCCATCAGGTTTTCTTTTTCCCTCCCATCAGAATCTCCTCTCAAAAAAAGCATAAGATAAATTCAACCAAATCAGGATAAGACTTAATATATTACTATCTGTGGTAGGCAGAATAACGGCCCCCTAAAGATGTACATGTCCTAATCCCTGGAACCTTTGAATATATTACAATACATGGCAAAGGGGAATTAAGGTCACAAGTAGAATTAAGGCTGCTAACACTGACACAGTGAGACCTGTACCACACTTCTATCCTACAGAATTATAAAATAATAAATTTCTATTATTTTAAGCTACTAGGTTTGTAGTAATTTGTTATAGCAGCTATAGAAAACAAATACACTTTCCAAAAATACATTTTAACAAGCGACAAAGCCTTTGCTTGATGTTAGTCAGTGCTTCTTTGGTTACAAGAGACAGAAACACAACCAAAGACAAAAAAGGGCCTGTTGGTTCACATAACCAAACTATGCAAAAGACAAAGATGGAACTGCATCAAGGAAGCCTAGAACCAAGACATCGACATCATCCCCCATCCCTAGTTACTGTGGCTCACGTATTAGTTCTCTTCACTTAAACCAGCTTAGTCCCATAGCAGGAATCATAGCTTTGGACTCATCACTGTGGCTGAGGATGAGATGCTATAATAGTCCAAGTGTAAATGTCCCACAGGGAGGGAGTTAGAGCATAAGTACAGAGTCTTTGGGAGAACTGCTCAGGGGCAGAAAGAAACCCCAAGCTGTGTCTACTGTGACTTAAGAATGAAGTTGTATTTATAGAATTTCAGGCATTTTCCGACTCATAAAACAGGTGTTTTGGTTGCTTTGCATATGTGATGGGAGAGGGGGTTGGGGGAGTGGGGAAGACAGATTATCTACTGCTGGCTGATCCAGCACCTAAACTGTACCATGGAAAGATCTATCGCCTTTGCAGGCTGTATTAGTCAACTCCACCTGCCATAACAAAATACCATAGACTGGGTGGCTGTAACAATAGACATTTATTTTCTCATAGTTCTGGAGGCTGGAAGTCTGACATAGGGTGTCAACATGGTTGGATTCTGGTGAGAACTCTCTTATGGCCTGCAGATGGTCATCTTCTTGCTATGTCTTCACGTGGTAGAAAGAGCTTGCTTGCTCTCTGGTATCTCTTCGAATAAGAACACTTATCCTATCTGATCAGGGTCCCCTCCTGAGAAGCTCATTTAATCTTAATTAGTAAATATTTACATGAATGTGAAAATAAAGGCTAATATGCCTTTAAGCAAGTACCTAGATGCTGATCTTCTTTTAGTTTCAGCTAAAAAAACTAAAAATAAAATCTGTAAGAAATAGCAACTTTTAAAATTTGGATACTTTAAAGTCATCTTAATTAAGTCATGCTTAAAATCATCTCCACAACTTTTCTCATATTGTAAAATAGTGTTTGCCCTCCCAAAGCATTGGTTTGCATTTAACTGCAGTAAAGTATTTTTCATTCATACCCCAGTGATTTGGAACTTGGGATAACTGACAGAAATTTGTGTACCTTCCTTAATCCTTTCTTCTGTACACAAATCAATAGCAAAAAATAATTTTGCAGGAAATAGGAACTGCAAAAAGTGATTTAATAGAAAATAGGAGCTTCAGATCACAAACTATTTTCAAGATCCTTCGAGCATCTCCAGAATGCTTTTCTGAAAAAATAATCAAACCATTGTCCTCCAAAAAAAGTATGCTGGATATACATATGAAATGCTAGACCTTGAGAATACTAAGATGTGGTCCATGATCTCAAAACTAGTCAAGAGACACATTATGCATATGTAAGTGATAAATTCTTTAAATGTATCAATGGGAATTTAACTGTAGTTGAAACAGTCTGGAAAGAATTCCTAGAGAAGGTTGAAATTGAGTCAGGATTTTACAGGACCTAGATAAATTGGCAAAGGAGGGAAAGGTGATTGAAATTGTTCTCATCTGTTCCATAAAACAGATCTCTAAAGCATTACTGGGCAACATGTTATTAGTCCAGCATTAATTGCTAAATGTTCTTGAGAACAATAAAAGTCTATAATTTAATTCTAGATTGAAATAGTCTATAATTCAGTTGTTTCACTAATTCAGACTATCCTTCAAGTAGTCTTACCATGTATAGTTATTTATTTATTTTTATTGAAAACACAAATATTAAAGAAAAAATTTAAATAAATTAAAAACCATTCCGTATCCCCCCACACTGATCAATGATTTTTTTGTATATTACCTTCCACATGCACAAAGATTTTACAAAGTCACAATCGTAGTGTGCATACTATTTTGTATTGTGCTTATTTACTTACCATATCACAGACACATCCATGTTTGTACATATTCTTCCAAATAATTATTTTAATGGCAGTATAATACCTCACTATTTTCATTAGCCCACTTTCTTCACTGACATATAGATTTTTTCCAATTTTTTGCTATTATAAATAATGTAGATACAAACATCTTCATGCATTTACCTTTTTTTTGTATCATACTTTAGGTTAAAAATGTAGGAGTAGAATTTATGGGGCAAAGGATAGGGCCATTTTTAGAGCTCTTGCTATGTAGTACACCTACATACAGCATTCCCAAAAGGTTGTATTTACTTAAAATGCCATCTGAAATGAATGCATTAAACAATCTCTTTCTAAAATTTTTTTTTAAAGATCAGAAGTGTTAGTAGTTTTAAACTGCAGTATTTAAAGTTAAAAATAATTATTGGCTCCTTTTTAAAAAAGTGTAGAATAGATGGTTTCACAGATAACTAAAAGTTTAGATGAGTCAACTTAAGCAATGCTTCCCAACTTTTCTCAAGTCATGGCACACATGGAAAGTAGTATGTAGGCATACTGGGGAAAATGGACAAAGGTGTTTCTGGCCTAGAGGCTCCAGCCACCCAGGCTACCTTTGCCGAATTGGGGATCTGTATCTAGGCATATCTATGACCTGCAGTGCCAGTGTGCATGGGTCAGGGATGTCTAATCATGGAGAAGTGGCGTGACTCAAGTCACAAAATCTAGTTAGTGGCAGAACTGGGAAATGAAGGCAAATTTCTTGTCAAAGTATTTTCTACTATATCACAACTGTTGTACATGCTTTTTGGTTCTAAAATTCAATTTTATAGGCAGACATTTATCTATACTTAATACAGAGGATTTTCTAACATGCTTAAAGACATCTAAACAAGCAATTTACATCAAAGGTGAAAACTAAAAATAGCATCAACAAATGTTTGACTATTTTCTATACAATTTTTCAGACTTCCCATCCTTTTAAATTTAGTTTGTAAACTCTTTGAACAGTAACAATCTGCATAGTATTTTGCATACCTCTGGTAGTCAGTAAATAAAGAATAGCAATAAATTATATACACTACAAAGAAAAAAAAACTATATTTAAGTCCACATTCCAAATAATTCTAAAGGTGAAAAAAATGTTGTGTTGATGTTGTAGAGGTAGAGATGATTCCCTCTTTAAATTTCAAATTCCTACTAGCTAAATGGAACCTTAGTATACACTACTACATTACAGACTTGTAAAAGACATTTCATTCCACAGAATGATTTTGACCTATACCCAGTGTTGATGCTACCAGGAGGAAAAAATTTACTACAAAGGCATTTGACCTTTTACCAAGTGTCAAATATTCCATATTACTTTTGAAAAGCAGGGTTTAGAACAGTTAACCCCACTGATTCAACTGTATGTATACATAAGACTTTTCTTGACCATAAATCACTGGACTCGGGAGTAGAACAGGGTTAGGAATTAAAATTTACCCATCTCCTGTGATGTGCCAGACAATAACAAGTAAGGGACTCCACACCCTGTGCTTTTTTTTAAACTACACCCCAAAATAGTGATTACTTGGTCATTTCTCAGATTCAATCAGACATTATACACACAAACACATCCATGCGACCGCATCGCACTTGGAAGATTACCTACTATTTCCCACTTATTAAGGTCTGGGTCATATTTCTCAATGCTCTGAAGATACGTTCCCTTTGAGTAGGAGTACCCTCCAGTGACATAAATACATCCATTCATGATGACAGCACCGCACTCCATCCTCCTTTCCATCATGGGAGCTATTTCTCTCCATTCATTTTGTTCAGGGTCATAGCATTCTGTGATTGTAGTTTGTCCACCGACTAGATAGAGCTTATTTTCAAATGGAACTGAGCACAATCCATATTCTTTTAAAAAGGAAAAAGAAAAGAACAAATTTTTATTAGGATAACCAAAGAGTTACCATAGTGTAGTGATGTAATAAACCTTTACAATTTAGCACACAAAAATACAGAGGTGACATTTTAATTCTGGCACACTAGTGCAACACTGAGGCTTAAAATCTACCTCCTATCATCTGATTCAGATTACCTGTTCCCTCCACACTGCCATTATCCTTCAGTTCATCCTTAAGCTGGCTCTGCAGGATGCCAGGGAGGAATTCTTCCCTTGGACCACCACCCTTTTATGTGATACCTATCTGTAAAAGATGGCAGCAGCACAGTCCTTACAAGAAGACACACTATGTAAGTGGTGTACGTTCCTCCAGGTCCTGGCCGCTATCCCCGTAACAAGTAGCATGCAATCGATAGTGTCTGCTCTCACAGGTGCCATCCAGAAGGGCACCTTCTTGCTTGCTTCTCTCAAACTGCTGGTCTAGTTAGGAACACAAAAAGCTAGAGAAACACACACCCAGGTTAGTGGGGGCACTACAGTCTTTCACCCTCAGCGGTGTGAAAGGTGCCCCCAGGCAGAGGGCTGCTGTGTGGGATCTGGGTCCTGGGCTGGGAGTCTGCCTCTAGGGGGTCCCCGTCCAATACGCTGTTCTAGTGTTTCCCATTTTATTTATCTCCTCCTCCACACCCAAACCTGCTGGCTCTGTACAGCACCAGGATCTTTCACAACTCCACTTCCTCTCCCTTCTTCCCAAGGCTGTGACAAGGGGGAAGCTGGTGCGGCACCCAGGGTGCAAAATGTAGGGAGGCGTAGCTCTCTGAGTCACTCTGAGTGGCTCCTTAAATTCTGTGCCTCAAGCATCTCACTTGCCTCATCCTGGTCCCAGCCTGTTTCTTCCATGCCCCCACTTTTAACATCACTCCTAGCCTGTTAGTTATTCTCTGGGAATATCAGCCATAAAATTACATTTACTTACTTTTAGCTGCAGCCCTGAAGGAGGAGGAGGATTTGTCAGTGGCACTTATATTACAGAAAATAAATAAAGATTTACCTTGCCATCACTGAACTGTCCCTTCTGCCTGGAAGTCTCTTTTTTCCCTAGTTCTTTGTACAGTTGCATCCTTCTTGTCACTCAGGTTTATCTTACTGTCCCCTTCCTCAAAGGGCCTTCCCTGACTATCCAGTCAGGCATCTCTGCCACATCACCCTATTTTAACTCTCTCTGTCGCACTTCTAATTATCTGGTATGTTTCTTGTTGATTGTTTGTCTCCCCCTCCCAGCAGCCAGGAACTGTGTCCTGCCCACTACTCCGTTCCCATTTGGAGGATTGCAAGTGTCTGCCACCTTGTAGGGACTCAATAAATGTTTGTTGGATCAATGAATAAACTGTACTTTGTACTCTCTTGTGCGCCAATGTGTGCCTAGACTATCGTGTAGAAGAAAAGGTTATAAGTAAGCCCCTCTTCAGAAAGAATATGCTCAGAAATGTGATTTCTTCTTTAAGAATGGAGGATAACTTCTTACAAGTACAGTTCTTGCTACCTAGGTTTTGAAAGCTAAGGAAAGTCACAGAAGATGGACATTTTTGCTTTGACTCCACATACTGTTCTCAAGTTTCTGACAGTCAAGAAAATAAGAATTCTCTTAGCTCTTAAAAACTCATTTGTTACTTTCTATTTATAATAATGTACAATTTTCATAGGATTTAGTTGTTTCAAGTACTTGTAAAAATTGTTTATATAAATTCTATGAATCATTCCCATCAATGGTTATTGTGAAAATTAATGATGGTTCAAAAATTTTATCAGTTGGTATAAGTGATGCAACAATGAGCTTACTAGGCTTTTCTTAAGTTATTCAAAGTTTACAAGAAATCCTCAATTTGTGATTCCTTTTTTTTTGCAGCTGGCTGGTACGGGGATATGAATCCTTGACCTTAGGGTGATAACACTATGCTCTAACCAACTGAGCAAACCAGCCAGTCTCTCAATTTGCGATTCTTATGTTAAAACAGGTATTTCACTCTTCATATGGCAGTAAAAATATTTACAATAAAGTGATTCCTGATATTTTTTCCTCCGTTACCTAAATAAACACAATGTTCTCTTATTGTTGATGAGAACTTTTCCCTTCAGAGCTATAACTGCTTTTTTTCTTGTCAGTTAACTCCTCTAAGCTACTGAGGCTGCAGGACTGTGTCTTCCTTAATTGTGCTCCTAGCACTGTGTACACAGCACATAGGAAGCACACAGTAGATATCTATCAGACAAACGAAGAAATGAAGAAAATTCCAGATCAAGCATGGGAATAACACCATCTGTCACAGCTTAAAGAGTTTACACACAAATATTAAACATAAATACATGGCAGTCTGTATTCATTGTTACAAGAGTGATATGAACAAAGCAACTGAGGGATTCAGAGACAACCACAACATCCATTTGAATTGATTTAATCTTTTTTCCTAAGATTTTCCTCATTGAAAGGACCTGTAAAGTTTATGTAGTCTAACTTCCTTATTTTACTGGACAGTAAGGCCCAAGTACACAAGCCACTTGCCCAAGGTTAGGCAAGTAAACACAGTTTCAACAGCACTTGTTTGTATAGAATTTACCAAAGATTGTCCTGGATTCCCATTTATGTGTATTTGCTATTAGATTCTGAGCTCCTGTGGCAATCCTGAGACTTGCACTTAACCATTTCTGTGTCTTACATAATAACTAGAATACTACCTTTCCCATTGTAGGGTCTCAATAAACATTGAATTTAATGAAATTATAGTCCCATGTTTTTCAATTAAACAAAGCTATCCCATTAAAGAGATTAAGATAAAAGAGAGCATATCACCTTTTAAAAATAACAGTAGTCATTTTTTCTAGTTCTAAGCTATATCTACGTAAAGTAGTGTCAAGGCTGACATTTTACATTGCTTTGGAGGTGCTGCTAAAGTGCATGAGAATCACGCCTTGCTGTAATTCAGTGGATGCAGATGCAAAGGCCTTCAAGAGCTTAAGAAGATAATAGACTAGCTGAGTGAAAGAGGCCAGGAGTAAGAAATACAACCGCACAATAAAAAATTTTTTTTAATTTAAAAAAATTCAAAAAAAGAAAAACAACAGCACAGGCCACCTATGTCTGATGTGATGAGAAAGCCTCATCTAATGGGAACAGCTACTACTCAGCTCCAGTGACTGCTGCCAGGACAGAATACGGTCCAAGGCTGCCAGATCCTCAAATTTTTCTGAAGGCCAGAAATCATGATTTTTATTTGAAATCTCCTGAATCTTAAATATTGGTAAGAAGCCAGTTCATAAATAATTTAAGCACTGTGAAAGCCAAACAGAACATATCATGCAAGGTGCTAATTTGATATCTGTTTTTTACATTTTGTCAGGAAAAAGTTCAATGTAAATCAAAACTTTACAAGTGGAATTATATATTCACATTCATTTATACTGTAATTTAATATTTATTTTGGATGAGTTTTCAATTTGCCATGGCTTTTAATGCTTTGGCTTAAGTCACACTGCCTTTTAGACACTTTTTCAAGTAGTTAAGCTAGATGCACCTTAAGTGTGTTATAGGACACTTATTTTTAAGGGAACCACTTTATGAAATATATATTAAACATATAAATGTAAGTAACTGACTTCTAATTTGTTAATCTGACCTTTCATGTACTGGATTTTCTTTGTGAAGATAAGTCTATCCACAAAATAGGCAGAGAAATATTTAACTCATGGTTAACATGAGGTTCAAATGACATACTTGCAAAATTGTTAATAGCATGGGCTATAAGCCAGACTGCCTGGGTTTGCACCTCACCTCTAACAAGCACTAGCTGGCTGACCCTGGCCAATTTATTTAATTTTGCTGTACCTCAGTGGTCTGTAAAATAAGATAACTCTACCTAGACCGCAGGATTATCGTGAAGTTTATTTATTTTGTTTGGTGGGTGGCCAGTACAGGGATCAGAAACCTTGTCCTTTGTATTATAATACCATGCCCTAACCAAGTGAGCTAACCAGCCAGCCAAAGATTAACATGTGTAAAATTATTAGTACAGTTAGTGCCTGGCATATATTTACTGAATAAACACTAGTGATTACTCAATATGAACTGTTACTATTACTTTCCAGTATAACTTCATTGGTTACAACTGAAAGTGGTAAGAATCTGGGATGACACATTTAGACAACTAGGAGACAGAAGGCTATCCACTTCATGATGTCTTCAGAGCCAAGGCAGCCTGCGACATACAGAGATGCAGCACCAGATTCAGGTATGCTCCACCTGAACCGTGAGATGAGACAGATGATGTGTCGGGTAGAAGAAGCTGCACTGGTCAAAAGGAGAGTCTGCTCCCTTAAGGAAAGGCAGATTGCTTAGTGGTTACAGCACAGGTTATGAAATCAGACTGCCAGAATTTGAACCCTGATGCACCACTTACAAATTGTGTGACCTTGGGAAAGTTACCTGTCCTTTCTAAGTCTCCATTACCAAGTATGTAAAACAGTGATAAACAACAATGACTCAGAGCTGTAGTCAGAATTTAAGGTAATATTACATGTAAAGTGCTTAGCCAATGCCTGACCTATGGTAAGTGCTCATGAAGGTTGGCTATTCTTGTTACTAAGATGTCTCAAGCTTATGAATTTCAATTACCCTCTCCAGTGACCCACATGCAAACCTGATGCTCTATGGAAAACGATTAGAAGTAATATGGTGATATGATACAAATCTTTCCTAATTAAAAAAACTTAAACATATGGCATAAGTGTAACAGGCTAAAACTTACACTTCTGTCTGAGTACTTCACACAAAGACAAGTCAAAGAACAAAAGACATCACAGAAGGCAGGCCATTCCTTATGACAACACATCCCCTTTATGACTCTTAAGGGAAGGTCAACATGGGATTCTGCACATCACAGGAGTGCTTAATAGCAACTGAAACCCAGAAAGAACATGCTTCTGAAAAAGGAAACAATCTCCTGCTGAACTTCAATCACCAGGCAAGCTCCCTGACTATTTGACAGACAGACTAATGCTTTTTAACAGTCTGTAAAAACTGTGTCATATAATGCATGTGGTAAATGAAAGAAAGCACACAACAAAGGAAAAGGAAACACAAGAAAGAACCTAAGTGAAAAAAATTTTAAAAGAAACTACCACTTTTAATCACAGGCTTAAAAGGTGAAGACATAAGGGAAAATATTTGCAGACATGGTCTAACTGGAGTCTAATCATGATTACCATCAGATGGATAGGACTATTTTGAGCCTTTTCTTGATACCTATGTATAGTCTACTATAAAATAAGTACTTTCTATTTCGAACCCATTTTTAGCCATCCCTTATGCTGATAAACTGCATCATGACATATACTATTTGAGACAGTATTTTGTTACCTGGATGTGGACTGGAGGTGATGAGGCTCCATTCATTGATATCTGAATTGTAGCTTTGGACCTTGTCATAAGTGCAGCTTCCTCTGTAGCCGCAGTGGCCACCAATGACGTAGATAACTTCATGTAAGACACAGGCAGTAGCATTTCCCACACCTGTGTATTAATTAAAAATCACATCTTTAGATTGATCTTTCATTCTTTTTTTGCAATGAATACTGTGCTAAGTTTATTATTGTTTTTGTTATCATTGAAAACAGATGCAAGACATTGTGCTAAGTGCCATGAGGGACAAAAGGAAAAAAAAAAAAGGCTCCGTGTGCTCTTTTAAGCGAGGATGAGACATGCACTAAAATAATTACAACAGAAGGTATAGAATGAAAGAAGTACCATAAAAAAGGGACAAATGAACTACCATGAATGGTCAGAGCAGAAGAGATTGCTTTTAACCAACAAAATTGCAGCAGGAAGTAACAGAATTTGATGTGGGCCTTGATAAGTAAGACTTTGGCAGGTAGAGGTGAGAGGAGGCCATTCTAAGCAGAAGGACAGGTCAGTGCAGAGGCTTATCAGACAATGTCAATTAGCCCAGTTTGACCAGGGCAGGTGGCACATCAGGGGTTGTTGCATGGGAATTAAAGCCAGCATGATAAGTTGAAGCCACAGGACAAAGGATCCTGAAGCCCAACTAAGAATCTGGATTTAATTCCACAGGATTTTTAAGGTTTCTAAACAGAGGAGGGGAAGGACTAAAAAGGAAGAAGGCCAGGAGTGAGAAAGAGCTACGTACCGGCCCAGGGGAGAAATGAGGAGGGAAGGTCCCTTGGACTGAGTGTGCTCCCCCAAAAGACTTGACCTGCACTGTGACAGTGTTAAGAGAGTGGGAAATACTATTATGGTAATTGAAAGGTGGGGCCTTGAAGAGGTGATTAGATTCTGATGGCCATGCTCTAATGAACAGATTAATAATTGTGGCTATGGGCATGGTTCTGAGGGCTTTAAAAGGAGAACACATGAGAATCTCTCTCTTTGCTCCACCATCTTCTGCCTTGAGACCCCTCCATTGCTGTAAAGCCACCACCAAAGAAAACCCTCACCAGATGTGTTCCCTGGACTTTGGACTTCCCAGCCTCTGAAATTGTAAGCAATAAATTTCATTTTCTTATAAATTACCCAGTTCCAGGTATTTTGTTATAAGTAACAGAAATTTGCTCCACCATCTTCTGCCTTGAGACCCCTCCATTGCTGTAAAGCCACCACCAAAGAAAACCCTCACCAGATGTGTTCCCTGGACTTTGGACTTCCCAGCCTCTGAAATTGTAAGCAATAAATTTCATTTTCTTATAAATTACCCAGTTCCAGGTATTTTGTTATAAGTAACAGAAATAAAGAAAACCCTCACCAGATGTGTTCCCTGGACTTTGGACTTCCCAGCCTCTGAAATTGTAAGCAATAAATTTCATTTTCTTATAAATTACCCAGTTCCAGGTATTTTGTTATAAGTAACAGAAATGGACTAGGCCTTGAGAAATGCCTGAGTCACAGACAAACGAGAATGATTTTGAGGTCCTGAGCTGAGAAAACTGGGAAACACTGATGCTAAAGAAACGTGAGAAGGAGGAGAAAATGGGTTCAGTGGGAAGACGAAGAAAGGAAGAAAGATGATGGGGGCTCATTTTAGTTGAAAACGTGTGTTTAGTCTCCACCAGCTTTTACTGAGTACTGTCATGTGCTGGGCGCAGTAGAATCTCCTCATTCATTCCTACTCCAAAATGAAAGTGAGTTTATAAGCAGGGAAGTTATGATTTTTTAAAAAAAGGCAAGAGTTCCTAAATGGCCAAGTGTTTATTTCTTCTCTGTATGTCACATTCCTAAAACAAAAAAGGAAATAAATTTGAAATTTGACACTACCCTAATTAAGCCCTCATGACCAAGGAAAGTTGCTAGTTCACTCCCTCTCTAAAAAATAAAAGAAACTGAGAAAAATGTTATCCTTTCTACAGAAAAATGGGAAAGTGAAAGTTTAGTGTGAGTCCACCCATCAGAACCAGTGCTAGTCAAAACTACACATAACTGGCAAAGTGTTACCTTTGCTGGAATGACTAGATATATATAAGAATCAAAGCTCTAAGCTAAAAGTATAAAACTGGAATTTCAGACCCAGCCTGTAGGTGGAGAAGTTTGGGGTCTGAGGATCTCACATTGCATACAAGGACAAGCAAGGCAAGAACACATATGAGCGGTCTCCAAAAAGTTCACAGAAAGATCTGCATCATCTTTTAATTCTATTTTTCCACAAACTTTTGGAAATATAGCTTTCTTTCACAATGGATACACCATCGCAGTATTTTCTTTCCAGCAAGCATTGTTTCAAATATAGTTCTCAAAAATTTCAGTAAAGTAATAAACTTCCATCCTCAAAGAAATATACTCTAAACTATAAAACCATTGAGAAACTGTTATCTCATCGTTAACATTAGCAGAAATGTATACAGGTTTACAATAGCTACTAAAATATTTGAACTTCCCTCGTTTTTTTGTAGAAGAATCAGGACATTCAGAACCATCCTGGAATTCGTTAGTGATGGTCAAGTTCAGGCAAAGTCAAAAGCCAGAGCAGCGATAGCAACAGGCTTTAGGCTACCTCCTTCCTTCCTACCCACTACATTGTTGAACCTGCGGGTGTGCATGAGAGTGGTCATGATTTAAAAAGGAAGATATTCCTGCCCTATCAGAGCTGACATGTTCTTCTATAATGATGTTCGTGACAATCATGTCTAACATTTACTGAGCACTTACTCTGTGTCAGACACTGTTCTAAGTGCTTCACAAGCATAAATTCAATTTAGACCTCTCAACAATCCTAAGCTAGATAATGTCATCCCCATTGTACAGCTGGCAAAAATGGGGCACAGGGAGGGAGATTAAACAATTTGCCTAAGCTCACCAGCCAGTAAGTGGGAAGTCGGGATTTGGACCCAGGCAGTTTAGCTTCAGAGGCAGTGTGCCTGATCACAAGACCATTCTGCCTCTCAGGCTTCCTGCGAGTCAGCCAAGGATCACATCAGGTCATATTTCCAGACCAGGTCAAATTCCCACACTCTCACTAGCGTTAAAAAAGAAACAGAAGGGCTTGGGAAGAAACATTTGGGACAAAATGAAACAAACTTGGTAACAACCTACCAGTTGTTTTTGTACAACTCCCCCGCTCCGATGAATAAATGTAATGAAATAAGATTCCGGTTTAACTTTTTTCTCCAGTAGGAGGAGGGAAGGAGAGCAAGACTAATATATCACCAAATGGCAAAAAATAGTGTCTATCAGACAGATATTGAGACCCTGTACTGTGCCTGGTTCTGTGGGCCACGTAAGAGAGGGTATGGTGTCTGCTCTTCTCCTTTACCCTATGAGACAAACCAAATTACAAAAAGCAGAAGTTATTTGTTTCTAGTTCTTGAGAGAATGGACATACTTTGTTATGTCCTATAGGGACCAAACTTTCCAAGGTTTCAATGAAGGACCTCCTGAGAGATGGTTAGCATATTTTGAGAAGGAAAAAGTTGAATATTTAAAAGCAGAACTGAAAAGGGTTCAATTCCAATAGCAAGCAAAAAAAAAAAAAAAAAAAAAAAAAAAAAAATCAAACATGAACTAATAAAACTACCCAGATTTATCTCTTCATTTATTCTCTGACTTACATATAAATTCTTAAGACTTGAAGCAAGAGCTAGAGTAAGATCTAGGGTAAGGATGTAAAGTAGAAAGAATTATACTTTTCTTATATAAATGATATTTCTATTATAGCCTGAGTAGCATACCCTAATCACGTAATTCTCAGACAAGTTGGGAACTCTGCTATGCTATGTTTCTACACAGAACATTCTGTACAACATTATTTATGTAATCCACTGTAGTTCCTAGATAGCATCCCAAAGTGATAAATTCTTTTTAAAGTTACTTGCAAGAGAAGTGAAACCACTGGCCTAAACTCAGACTTCTAAAAAATACAGAATAAACATAATCCGCACTCACCTTTAATCATGTTTGCAATAGGAATCCATTTCTCTTTCAATGGATCATAGAACTCGGCCTCTTCTGCCGGAGCCCCTTTTCTGTAACCACCTAAAGCATAGACACAGCCACCCAAGGTGACCGCACAGTGGTAATACCTGGCATTGAGCATTGGCAAACCTTCTGTCCATTCATCACTTTCACTGTTATAGATCCACACTGTATCAAGAGCTTCTATGTTATCTGTCCTGTAGCCCCCAGTTACATATATATTGGGTCCTAAACATGTAACACCGTAGCTCTCCCTGGCATAATCTGGTATTTCTGCTCCCTGAATCCAAACATTTGTCAAAGGGTCCCATACATGAACTTCTGATAAAGGATGCCAGTAATAGCCTCCAATGATATACATCGTGGCTGTGGACCTCTGGGATATTTCTTTATGCATGGGATTCAAGGCATTGTATATTAGAGAGCGTATCTTGTTTTCAGTTAGTAGGCAGCTTCTTTGAAGGCCTAAAGCTGTTTTTAAATACACTGGATCTACATCTATGTTGATATAACTTAGTAGATTACATAGGCATTCAATTCGATTTTCTACATCATGAGCGGTCCACTTAATAACTGGCTCTATGATAGCTTCTTCTTTCCATACACTGAGATTCTTTCTGGACAAGATAAAGAGAAACTTTTCAAGGCTGATTTCCAGAAATTCTTCTTGCTGCCATACTTCCTTGAACCTGGAACACAGAATTCTTCGAGATTCCTTCTCTAGTTCTGGACATACATGGAACTCTGCAAAGGAGTGCATTCCAATACAATTATCAATATCCAGATGCCTTACCAAAAACTGCTCACAAGCCTTCTTTACTGAAAGGAACTGTAGCAGATCTGCTGCCTCAAGTAGACTTTGAACATTTCTTTTAGTTATCTCAATTTGGGAAGTGTATGCATAATTTACAAGGCCTTCCAGAATATCATGGTGGATGCCAGAAAGTTTTATTTTATTTTTAAATTTTTCTTTCATGTCAGCTGTGAACATTGCCTTAAAATAATTGCTGCAAGCAGCTAAAACAGCTCGGTGACAATGGAAGATTATGCCTGAAGGACACTGAAGGGTAATATCAGTAAATAATCCATCCAAGTAAAATGTTCTGAATGCATCCAGAAAATCCACTGGATGTGTTGAATCCTTGAAAAGATAAATATAATCTTCTTGTCCTTTTAGAGCCATGGCTGCAAGAAATACGAAATAATGTTTCCAGTTTTGCACATTACCCCAAATAATCAATGTTAAATATTCCAATCAATATGATTGATTAGCATCGGATATATTCCAAAACTAGACTAAGTTCAGCATTCTAAGTAACAAACGCAAAATGTGGATGTATTGTTTCATAATTTATACGATGGTCAATTTAAATCCAGGGTAGCTCTGAGCCTGAAATGAGGCCCCTGGATTTTTCAGCTGCTCTCTGAAGAGGAAATACTGATCTGCTACTCCATTCACCTAGTTTCTGCAATCTGTTCTGGGCTGGCGTCCGAAGGGAGATTACACCCTTGGCAAGCCAAGTGTCCCAGGGGTCACCCCACTCGAGGCCGGCCCTTGGCCGCCTCGGCCCCAAGTCAACCTTTTTCTCCATCTCCTTCTCCCTTTCAAATTACATCTTGATGCCAAGAAAGGGATGATCAAATACTCGTGTAAGTGGGCAAGAAGAAATCTCAGAAAAGGGAAACCTAATGCCTTTTGCTTAAGGAAGTGGAGAAAGGAAAGCGGCCCGATCCGGGCCGCAGCCCTCCAGCCGGCGCCCCCTCCCCCGCGCCCGCCGCAGGGCTTTCCGCGCGCCAGGGGCCCG